AGCCAATTGCCAAAGAGACAGAGGACCGAGGAGTGGAGTATCCGAGAGGAGACTGGCAAACAGCTGCCCAACTTATGACATGAAAATAATGTGGGCGAAACAATGAATTATGCACTTGGAAATAAGTTTGGAGCTCGGCAGCGAAAGCGGCTAAATTGGAACGCGCGACGATGCGGTGTGGCCAAAACAAAACCAGTTGGCAAATCACTCATAAATGGCCCAAAACTGGGGCTCTGTCTCTCTGGTCATGGCTGCAGCTTGCAACTTGCAACCGGCAAAACTGGCAAACTGGCAACTTGCAACCACGGGCTGCACTGCGAAACGGGCGAAAACTTTTCGGCTGGCTGGCAAATGGTTGGCAGACAAGGGCAACAACAACAAAATTCGGTGCCATAAAATGTTGCCAAATGCAAAATGCGTGCATGGGGCTCATAATAATTCATAAGCAACATTTTGCGATGGCAGAGGAGCTTTTCCGCTTGCCCCTCATTCTGTTCTTTTCCGCCCCACGCGAATTTGTGTGTGTGGCGCGTTATATTGCACAATAAACGCGTTAAGTTGAAAGTAATGCATCAACGTTTTGCGCGCCCCCCAAAAATGCAGCCGGAAATAACACTGGCTTACAAGGAAAAAATATAAATAAAAATAGAAAATCATAGTTATCATAGTTCATTAAAAAGCCTGGAGGATTCCAAGGTAAACACTTTTTATAAAACTGTATTTATCCAGATCTCGATGTATAACAAATTGCACAAACAAAATTATATCATTTTCTTATATTGGATATTATTTAAAAAACAATATTAAATAGCCCATAGATACATTGGAAGATATTTTTTTAATGATGTTATATTAGTTTTTGTATACTATAACTTTTTAAAAATTTTTAAATTTCAATTAGAACGATTATGGAATTTTTTTTTACTTTTGTTAGTATTTTAACCAGATTTTGTAGCCTAGTGCAGTGGCAGGAACACCAGCCACACGAGCAGCAACAATGCGGAGAATGCGCCTCCATATGTTGCCATCAGACAGACTGACAAGGATGGAGTGAACATAGGCAACTGGATGAGGGCGCCAAAGCTTTTGAAAGATGAAGGAGCAAATGAGGTTGCAACAGCGGACGTGGCAACTGAAGCCAAATGCAGCCAGCGAAAATGAAGTGAAGTGCGAGGCAGGGCGGACATGAATATGTTTGCCAGGCAGCGACTTTAAGGAGTTGCCACCGATCTGCGGATTAAGTAGTGAAAGGTGCTTCAGAAATGAGAAAGCCAACCTCCAGGCGATTGGGTAGAGACATCAGAAATATTTAATGGGATTTTAAGTAGGGCAACTGCGAAACTGTATCTACGGCTTTAAGAGCTTCTGAAAAATAAACTCTTTGAAGTTGTGGAATTAAAATAATTTGTAGTATATTTAACACTTGATACTTTTCAAAGAAGCTTTAAATTAATCTGACACGGTTTTGATATCTTCCCGTTTGGTGTGTAACCAATTAACAACGTTTCGCCAATATAATAATATAAAAATTAATTGTTTTCTGTGCCGTTTGCTTTCAGTAAAGCGTATTTGGACAACGGAAATAAATGTAATTGGTAAATACATACATGACTATTCATTATTTACATTTATTGTATTTTAATTGGGAACAGATATGTGCCTACAAAAGTTAAAGGGAAGCCTTTTTTAATATCACATTGTAATTTTTATATTTATAGGAGTGCTTAAATTCAGATAGTATTTTTATTTTATTTTTTATAGTTAAGCATGTAAGACTAAAGTACCTATGTTGATTTAAAATCATGCTTTTAACAAACTCAAAATAATTTTGAAACCTCTACACAATGCCTAACAAATCCTGTTTAAGAAGAAGCCATTAGAAAGGAAACATCAAATCTGAAAATAATATCACTCGTTAGTTGAAACAAGAATCGATGGTAATTTTGTCCTGCGACATGAAAATAAAATTATAATTAATAAATCCATCATTAAGCTCCCGTCGTGCTGCAGTGCCCATCGCGCTGGTTTTTCCGACTTTTGTTTATTTTTTTGTACTGCCATTCCACTCATGTCGGGGACAGGCAGTGCCACGCCCCCTGCAGTGTTAATAAAATGCGTGAAATTTCCATAGCCAGCTTGGGGGCGTTTATGCATCAGATGTGTTATGAATTTCAATGGAGCGACGGGGAAAAAATATAGACCGAATTCGAACTGAAAAAGTGCACTGCAAGAAAAGAAAGAAAAAAAAACGGGAGTAAACGAGGCTTACCGACATTGAGTGCGTTTTTGCGAAAGGAAGAAAGTCTTTCTCTACTATTCGGGGGCATGCGAGGTTCTTCACGCTTTCGCTGACATTTCACATTACGTAAACGTATTTATGCAAATGTGCTGCGAGTCCTGCTCGCTACGTGTTTGAGTCCTGCTGATGCTCCTTTCTCCTTTCTCCTGGTCCAACTACTCACTACACATCTCCTTCTTTCGCCGAGTTTGAGTTTTTTTCGTCGATGCGCCACATTTGCATGCATTTTAAATGACTCGGATATCAATTTTGACATATCACTTGACAGCTTAAAAAGGTTTATGTATTTATACAAACGAACATGCCAAACTGACAGAACTTTCTCTCTCGCTCTCTCTTTCACACAAAAAAAAGTGTTGTGTGCCTTTTTTCATAATAAAAGAGGCGGATTTTAAATTTATTGCTTCATTAAAGCTTAATGCCCAAAGGCATGAGTGTACGCTTTCGCTTTATTCATGTATGTGTATCAGGTGAAATATTCAGGAAGTGGCTCTCACTTTTTTGCAGTCCCTGTTTTTCGTTACTTCCTCTTTTGTTAAACAATGTTTTTAGGCGGCCTTAAAGCATTTGAAAATCATCCCGAATTAGTCCCCATGCGTATATTTTATTGTTAACGCCACCGTTACGATGTTGCAAAATTAATACATTTGTAATTTAAATGTTTTGTTGCCCAGCGAACATTGAATAAAATTGCCCCGAAAATGTGCATGTAAAATGCATGTTAGGTATTCGTGTTGTTAAAATGTAAACAATATTAGCTGAAAAAGCGTAAGAGCCAGCCTGAATTCGTTGATTTCGCTTGCATTAATAATGGCTTAAAGCATCAATTTTAAAGTGGACTAGACTGCGAGGGCAAAGGGCAAAGTTAATCAGAAGGCTAGACCGAAGGAGAGGGCTGTGGTGGTCAATCCATTAGTTTGGCCCACAGACTCAAGTCGAAAAGTCAGAGTAAATAATTAAATTTGCTGCGTAAATAAAACTTGGAGTGGCCGCCAAAATGGCCAAAATGTACAAGCCAGAAGCTGAGGAAACCACTTGAGCAGCTTGTCTACAATGTCAAAGGCAGGCCTTCGGCTTTCACTTCACTCTCTGCCCTCCGACTTTCTCCACTCTCTCTCTTCCCCCTTTTATCTGTCAGCTACTCCGATTGTGGAGCTGCTTTCATTTGGCATTCAGTGAAATTGCTTTTATTAGCGTATAAATCAACAGTGCAAAAATCGTAGCATACTTTTCAGCAGTCCGGCGTTTAAATTAAATTTATGCGCCATTTCGACTTGTTTACAAGTTGTTTGGCCCGAAGAGGAAAGCCAAAAGACAAAACGGTCTAGAAAATGGTAGAAAGGAGGCAATCGTAGTGTGGCGATTCACACTTGAAAAGTGCATGAAAGGACGGGCTTAACGACTGCTCGTAGGAGTGAGATCTGCCCGATACTCGCGCCATTGCCCATTATTATGCCCTGAACATAATAATAAAACTATAAATTAAATTAACTCATAAAAATTCCGTGTGCATAAAAAGGCAAACCCTCCGTCCGAACCCCGGAATAATAACTTTGTTTTTGTTGCAGCCCGCCAAGGAAGCCAAGTGGGTGTCCAATGAGGGGGCGGCCATCTATCTATCTGTCTATCCGGGCGATGTCAGTCTCAGGCTGCTGCGTTGTCCAAAAACTGCCCGCCAGAGACTGTTCGCCACCCCGTTTCGTTGCCCAGCCCATGGCTTCTTTAGGTTCTAACACACTTAGAGAAAAAATCAGCAAAATGAATTTCAATCCTCAAAAAATGCTTGATTTTTAAGCCATATTTCCTTTACTTAGAGATCAGGAAATAATAGAAAATAATATAAAATATAAAAAAAAAATATTTAAGTCATTTAAAACTTGTGGGTTTTTATATCTTTTATATATTTACTAGATCTTCTAGTTGGAATAATTACACCAGTTATTTAAATACCCATTCTGCGAATATGGTTTCCAATTTCTGATATAATTATTTCACCTCTAAGAACCTCGATACTTTTCCAGAATTTAATATCAGAATCCCTTTTCTTCTTTTTCAGTGCTTTGTCTGACATTTTTCCACTTGCCCATTCTGCACTCGAGCTTGCTCGCATTTTATGGGGCATACATATAGGCGCTTTGGCTTGTAAGTAGCATGTAAGTCGGATGATTTAAATTCTTGTGAGCACACCAAAGCGAACGATGCTCCCGCTGCCTCCTCGGTGCGATATATAAAGCGTCAGCGCGCATATTTGATTTGATTTCATTGCCAGAACTGTGAACTGAGAACTGAGAATGGAACTGCCCAGTAGGCCATTCCATTGAAGAGGCCAGAACGCGACGTGCCTGTAAATATTTATTAATGCTGTGAAACTTTCCATTTGTGTGTGTGGCGAGTATCCAATGCGTTGCTTCTTCGATGGCTTTGATTTTTATTGAGCTCAGTTTGAAAATGATTTTGTGGTCGCTGGCCAACAAAAGTTTATTTCAAATTTTCGTAATCTGAATGGAGTGGCAAACAAAGGAAATTGATTTGCCGTTCATCTATGGCTTTGGCTTGGCTTTGATTTGAAAATTGTCTAATTTGGTGTGAAATGTTTGTGGAAAAAGCAGAGGCGGTAATTTCTAGATTATCCATCTATTGGTAATTGGGTAATTCTGAAACCATAATATAAATTAGCTTATTTTTTCCTGTCTTTGAATTTTCAAAAAATGTATTGGCCTGATCATTTGGTTTTATTCTCCTTTAAGCTTATCTGTGTTTTCTTCTTGGTTTTAATATCTGCCAGCCTGTACTCCAGATGTTCGATAATTAAATACTTGATACGATTCCTTAAATGAAGCTCTATCAAGTCCTTTTGTCTTTGCTTAAAGATTTTCCTGCGCCTTGCAATGCGTTTCTTGAGCCGAATGACTTTTAAATGTTTCTTCGGCCTGCTGATGAAGCCGATTTCCCGCCAAGGATTGTTCATTTCATTGGATTATCTAATAGGCTTACAAGTGAAATTTTGTAACAATGCCAAACTAATTCAATATTGATTGCTAAATCAAAACCAAATTTAATAAACTTCAGAGCGTAGTCGTTGTCCAACAATAACAACAATGAATGCATTCAGCTGCGGAGCAAGAGGCTGTGATGATGACGTTTAAAGCAATTACAAGGGAAACCAAGCCAAAGTCCACGCCCACAGCCCCTCCAACCCCTCTGCCACCCCCCCTCTTGAACAACAATGTGCATACAAATGCAAATTGCGCCCTGGCATACGTTGCGTATACGTAACGCCAAATGCCAGCGGCAAGAGAGCGCCAACAACAATGCATTTTCGCATTGCGTGAACAAAATAGTTTTGTGTTGCGGTTGTTTTTAGTGGCTCCACGGGTGCAAGCGTGAGTTTCCAGTGGGCGGTTAGCGAGGAGTGGGCGTGGCAGGCGTTGGACAAGGACTACAACGACTACATCCACTACAACAAGTGCAATGGCAATTACTGGGCGTGTAGCAGCAGCAGTCGTCGTAAGGCAGGAGCTCAAAACCAGAGACCGGAGGGGGAAAAGCCAGAGTTGCAATTTCTTTTCGCGGGCTTAACAAATGCATAACCAACTAAGAAGAACAAGCAGGCAGCTGGGCAGCCAGGGAAAGCATCGAATTCGGAAGTATCCTAACTCAAAGGTCAAAGATCTTATGGGAATTCTCGTAAAATCCATTGATGGATACATTATTATCAAAAAATTTAGTTTGAATTTAATATTTGGCTTTAAGATAAAGTACTCTACATATTTTATGTCGTTTTTTCAATAGATCTTTCTTTTTCTTCATATAATAAAAATATATCTTATGGGATAAATAATAAAGAAATCTTAAGTCTAAGTCTCAAAACTAGTTTCCTTAGCAAAGCGACCCCATAACACTTGCATTAATACACTATCCTAAGCAAACCCCGCGGCATTGTTGAGTTTTGTTTGGTTGATTGCTGGCTGCTCGGATGGCGGGTTGTAGTGTTGTGTACAGAGTGCAGAGCTGTTTCGCCTGCCGAGCATTTAGTGACACATTTTAGTGGTTGCCTGGAGCAAATTGCAGGTGCAAATCGAAAGATGTTGTCGCCAGGCCAACGGATCGCGCATAAATGTTGAGTGGCCCAGAGCCATAATCTTAACCACCAACCGGGTTCACCCACTCAAAGCCACACCCACACGCATCAAATCATGGCAAGGCAAACCAAAATTGACTTGAACAAAATGGGGAAAAGAAAGGAGAACACTGATAGAAATGATACAGCTAGATGATTTACATATAAAATATAATACATTATATAATAAGAAATTCTTTAAAAAATCCTTGAATTCCCATTTAGTTGTATAGATAATGGTTTTAAAAATGTTTTACTAAAATAGGCATAGTTCTGGTGATTACTGGCTTTTCCCTCAGTGAACTTTTCCCATCCCCAGTCGTGTATAAATAAAGCTCACAAAATAATAGAAACCGGCTTGGCTGAACCGTAGAGAAGGGAATGGGCTGCCGAGGTCAAGTTCGGAATCCATTTGTGTGCATTTCAGTTTCGGTTTAAATCAAGAGCGGGACACAGCTCCGGACAATCATTCAGGCTGACAGGATGTGCGCTTCACTGCGCTGATTGTGAGTCGAAAAAGGCTAACGAAATGCGAATGCCCATGCACAGAAGCTAATATATATATTGTGCTGGATTTTCGGAATCGGAAATCTTCTTAAAGCCACTCCAGTTCAGTTCAGTCGAGCCCATCCCATCCCAGCCCCATCGCCCCTCGAGGCCACTTTGCTAATTGAATTTATGCCGACGCCACTTGACAACTTCCTGCAACAAGCAAGAAGAGGAGAGACCCTATTTTCCGTCTGGCAACAGTTGGCAACGTGTTAATTTAACAAAAATTACAATTGCAAGGCAGCCAGGCATTCTCCTTGGGTTTTCCGCCTGCCCGCCCCCATTTTTATCCTTCATCTTGCCTTTTTGCTCATTAAGCATATGGCAACAAGGTGTAAATATGTTTGCCACTGCCACTCCGTCAGGCTGTAATATTTTTTTCTCCCCACATTTCGCACAAAAAGCACAGCCAAGCGAGCAGACATTTCCAGCCCGCCCAACTCCCCTTATTTTTCAGCCCACTTTTAGACCAGCGACAAGCCTTTCTGCGTGTCCTTGTAGTCGGCTGTCGTCTAGGCTGCTTGCCATGACAATTTAAATGCCTGTTGTCTGCGCACATCCTGTGCAAAAAAGGGGTGAGCTGGCAGGTGGGGGTGGGGGCGGGAAAGTAATAGCCGCTTCTAGCTGCGGTTCCTTTAGAATCGTTTTCCATCTTATCAAGGGTAGCAAAGAGGTGATACGAGGCCATGGTAAAATCTGGAAAAAAACAAAAGTATTATTGCCTTCTAAAAAAATGAAAAACAATGTTTTTTGTTTATTTAGAATTTTTAAAACAATTTTAGAAAGGTTTACTTATAGGTTAGTTTACAGATTATATGGTCTTTATCTTTAAGCTTAGCTTCAATATTTAATTTAATGATTTTCCATTAACTTTCCTAAACTGAAGTTTAATTTTATCTCACACATATTAAGTGCTCTTTCAACGCGTCAACACTTAGTCGAGTCTTCTACACCACTCGTAATTGTTAATAAACAAGTTTTTTTTATGTTGTATTTACACTTTAATGAATTGCATGTAATTACAAATGTATGCGCTGTTGTTGTCGCGGCTTTCGCAGTCTTCGCTGGGGGTTCCCCTCTTCAATTTATGGGGAAGTGGAACAGGTCGAGTGGTGGAACAAAAGTAAAAGCAGCGAAGGGAACACTGCCATTGTGGTTGAGATTTGAAAAAGAGGGAAAACGTAGTGACTTTGTCAGTGTGGGGAAAGAACTTTTAAAAATCCATTAAATATTATCAGGGTCCTTAAAAAGGTATTAAATGGATGATACTGCGGTATAAGTACCCATGTTAAAATGTGGCTTGCTTTAAAACTTTATGTTTCAATATTACTAAACCGAATAGAACTATTTAAAACCCCTTCTTAAAGCGTTGTTATATTTATTTAGCACTATCCCTTTTTAGACATCTGCTAAGAAAATGGTGCAAAATAATTTGAGGGTGGCATTAGAGCCCATTTCCGCACTTGAGGCTGCTCCATTTCGGGAAACCAATTTTGTCATATCTTTTGCATGAAATGTAAGCCACTAATTAAAACTAAGTGGCGGGGGCGGGACGTCGTCGAAAGTATCGCGCCCATGCCGTAACCTCTATTAACCCGAGCGACGCCCAATTACACTTTCGGCTACCGTCTTTTTTTTTTAACGCTTTCTCATCGTTGAGAGTGTGCAAAGAAAAGTGGGCGGAGGCGCGGAAAATGGCGTTGACTACCCTCGAAAATTTTTGACATTTTGACAGGGCTACAAGTTTACAAGCACCGCAGGCTACAAGAGGCAACATCATTGGCAACAACGACAGCACATGGGAACGCATTACGCATACGCAGCGTGGCCGGGGAAAATGCGGAGTGTGAGTGTGTGGGTGAGTGCGAGACCCAATTCTAATTTGTTATGTAACTGCGTGTGTGCAGGCGTTTTGGGTTAGATAGAAAACCGTATAAGTGATGTTATAACGTGCGGAGTTTTCGGCGCTTCAAGCATTTTGACCCGGCTCATTATGCTCCATGCGGCGGAGGAGATGTTCCAGGGGGTTTCTAGTTGGGGGGCATACAAGAAAGTTGATTACTAGTGTAGTGCTTGTTTACATTACGTTGCTTGTTCTTCCCAATCACCCAGGGGTGTTCAGAAAATTCACTCAAATAATCAACTATCTTATAAGGATATTTTACCTTTAAATGTTTTTATTGATTTGTTATCCTATGTAATCGGATTTCATACTTAAGGATACTTTATTTTGAAAGGTTTTCATATATTTAATGATTTTTGAAATGAGATTAGAAAATTATTAGTTCTATATAGTTATATATATTTTAATAGTAGTTGTGATTTTTCAAAATATTATTATTTATGGATAAATGGATTTTTAACAAAACATTTTAGTTATGAGCAGTTCTCAGATCTGCCTGTTGATGCCTAAAGTTTGGATGAGAATTAAACCCTTCAAACTTTAATTTAATATTATGTTATAGAGGGTATTCAAGGCTGGTAGGATAACCTAGCGGCGCAGTAGTTTTGAAAGGCCCTCGAGCGGTGTCACCTTTGCACGTTTTACATATGTAGTTACCTCGAACCCTCCCAATTTTCCGCCTCCCCCCACCAAATGCCCCCCCACCTCTCCGGCGGACTGTGTAAATGTTATACAAAATGCCGCAAACGTGTGCGTGGCAAATTTGTAAAGTGCAAAATTTATGCGTAATGTGAGGGCGTTACGCAGGCGACCCCCTTTGCTCTGCGGCTTACAAGTTTCAAGAGGTCTCGGGAACCCTAGTTCGCTCTCTCTCTCTCTCTCTCTGTCTAACACTCGCCTGCCGTCTCTTTCTTTGCACGGATGTGGGGTGTGAAGTTTTTGGCATATTCAAGTGCGAAAAGTTGCAATTTGAGGCTGCTAACCAAAAAATATAACTGTCTAGTCTGAAGCCGGGTTGCGAGCATCTATGTGTGCGCGTTTAATTTTCTCACCAAACTAAAATGTTTTCGGTGGCGCATCCTACATCCCAACATCCTCTGGGTTGTTCCTCGCGCACTCATGCAAATATTTGGGTTGACTCTGGGTGCTTTTCTCCATGGCAACCAACGAAATGGCGGCAAAAGGTTAGCAAAATAACTTCATATGCTCACCGACGCATATTTGGATTTGGTGAAATTCATTAAAGTTTATGTTTGCCTAGATGTTAGGACAACAATAATGTCGATTGCTGACTTTTAGGGGCCCCCCCTGCCTTTTTGCGCTTAATGTGTTAAAACTAATTTAAATTTATTTCAAGATGCCGCAGCCTTGGCAGAGCACACTTTTTGGGCCACTCACACGCACCGTTCAAGGGTTAATAAATAAATTACGTATACGTGCACATAA